ATGATCAGAGTTGTGGTTCTGGTGTCCAAACAGTCTCTGCTGCTAACTTTATTTTTTTGGTAGCAGCTGTGGCTCTATCTCAGGCTCTACTTCTTACTGAGGCTGAAATTCACGGCAGAATCAGTGAGTTACAAGCTCTATTTATCACAGGGCCAGGGGCACGCTGGGTCTTAATTAAAAAGGAGGAGCACTTTTATTTTACAGCAATTACGACGAGTTTGACTAGAATTCATTGAATCTGTCTGATTGAATGCTGAACCAAATTCTTATTTTCCTACAGTGTAGGTTTAGCTCAGAATAGCTAGCAGCAACAGCAAACTCTTAAGGTAACTCCTATGAGGGCTTAAAATCAATATTCTCAAATTCTTTATGATGAATAAATCAATTTCACCACAATGTACTTTGTTTGTGAGTACAGTTGGATGTCTACTGTGGTGGTGGACTAGTGGTACAGACTGCTGGAAAGATTAAGACGGTTATCTAAAAAAAAATAAAAAGTGAAATAATAATATTGCACAATTATGATTAATAATCAACAGTACTATACCTCACACGGGGCACCACTTTGTTGTGCGTTGGTGGCGGACCGGGCTGCACTGAGGTCAAAAACAGCGAGGTGAGTGAAGAGAGAGAGAGGAAGAGAAGAGTAACGCCCTGCCAGAAGTTTTATCACCTGGACATTGCACATCATCAAGCTGCATCAGGTGACTGTCACAGGAAGTGACCAAATGAGGTGACATGAAGTGACCCGTCACAATAAAAGTCCAGTTAACCACACCAAATGAATGAGTTCATATTTTAAGGTCTCCTTTGACTCTACACTCTCCACCAGACTCCAGAGACAAAAACACTAATTTTAGCTCACAGAACAGAGCAGTTGCTGGTCCGCCTGCTGCTTCAATCTGTTAGTTAGTTTGTGTTATTGTGTGATTTATTGATGTTTTAATACGTTAGTTTGAACTCACCAAAGTCACACAATCACACAGACTAACTGCAATCAGGCCCAAAGGATAACGCTGTCTCTCAGTACTGCTGTCAGTATTTCATATTGTTGTCCCCAGTAGTCCGTTAGATAGAAAATACAGAAGTTCCCTTTAAGTAGAAATAGAAAAGTATCATCAGTAAAACCTCCTTATATCAAAGTAAAAGCCGGCTGCAGTGTGCAGAATGGCCCCTGTCACTGTGTTATATTATAATACATATTAGGGCCCCGATGTATCGCTCGGCCCATATTATGGGACATGATATTGTATCAGTGTATATGTTATCAGATATGTGCCAATATGAAAAGAGGTTTGAGTGCGTTTGTATATAACGCAGATAAAAATGCTTGTGGTCATACATTGGTGTCGGTGCAGCGTTTCTCCAGCAGAGGGCGCTGTGGTTCACAATACTGTGGCCAACAGCACAGAGGAAGAGAGAACAAGCAGCTCTCAGCAATGTCAGCTAGAACAGACCTTTTTCACAGCGGCCATTCTGACATGTAACAGTAGGGTAAACACAGCTGTTAACAGTGATATTGATTAAGGCTCTGTTCCATTTAGTGTATCAGAACCTTTCCAGTGAGCCAACATGAACAATATCAGCGTGTGTGTGTGTGTGTGTGGTGGGCGTGGCTTACCTCTCCTGCCACCTGGCTCATATCCACACCTGTCTACAATCAGCTGAAGACGTGCAGCTCTCCTGCCGTCCATCAGCAGATTGTTAATGTTGTGATACTTGGATTAGGTTACTGACTACAGAATAGTAATTGTATCAGATTACATTTTTAAAGTAACACACCAGATACAAGTTACAACAATATTCACAGTATTTACCTGCAGTAACTCACTTTCTCTCATTTCACTGTCAAACATAAAGCGCCTTAAGTTCAGGAAACTAAACAAGTAGTTTTAGCTTCACATGATCAGTAAAATAAATAAATACAATTTTCTTATTAGTCGTATTAAACTCACACAAAATACACAAAAACTTACTAAAGTGCATAAAACATTAAAACAATAATATATATTATTTAACACACACATGTAAGTCTCAAGGATGCACGATATGGAAATCTTTTCATCTGAAACAATAATCGATAATTACCTGCTTCTCATGGCTGATACCAATAAGTTAATTGATCATTTCACATTTCTCTATTTTAAGTTCACAACCTTCAGTTTATGCAACAACAACAACAACAACAACAACAACAGTTCTGACTTTTCAAATGTTCATTTATCTTTTAAAGTTCATCAGAAAACTTCACAAACATACTTTGACTTTCATACAACACAAAGCCTTGCAAACATTTTCCATAACAATTCAAAATAATTATTATTAACATCAACGATAATTTATGGGCTGTAATTTTAATTATCTGAATAATACATAATAACATAAATAATGTTCGTCCCCAGTTAAAAGACAGTGGACATGAAAAGTTGAGTTGTATAATATAGTAAGGTGAATAACAACTGCTGCAGCCTGCTTACACCTTTTATCATCAATCTGACAGATATTTGATATTTCTCCAAAATGATCAATAATGCAGAGTGGAGGCACAGATCATTCCTCCAAGTTAATCAATAAATACAACCCAGTAACTGTAAACTGCTTGTCACACACACACAATGTCCATTTCAGTGAGCATGATGCACTGTAAGCTACCGTTAGCTCTCCAGTGGCACTTTTTACACAGCTGGAACAAAACTGCAATTATTAAATAAAACATGTCAACTTCTTTCAAGTCCTCTGTCTCAAGTCTCAAGTCACAAATACCAAGTCAGAGTCAGTTTGAGTCTTTTATCAACGTTAGTGAAGCAGGTCTCAAGTCCTCTACTCGACCTCTGCAAAGACATTATAATATGTGTGCACATGAACTCACAGTCGGCACAAACAGAGTCTCTCTGTTAACAAGCAAGGACTCGCTCACACACACATTTTAGTTCTCTCCACAAAAGTTCAGGAAACAAAGACCGCTAAAATAACTATATCTATTGCAAATCTCATTCATAAATCTGTTACCCTGTTCCATAAAAAAGTCCTAACCTGACTTCTATCAGCCGCTCTCATATTCAAAGGTCCAGTGTGAAACATTGAGGAGGATTTATTGTCAGAAATATAATAAATAATATTCATAGGTATGTTTTCATTAGTGTGTAATCAGCTGAAAATAAGAACCGTTTGTGTTTTTATTCCCTTAGAATGAGACGTTTTTATCCACAGAAGGAGCACGGCAGCCATACTGATCAACCATGTTTCTACAGTAGCCCAGAACGGACAAACCAAACACAGATAGGGCCATTTGCACAAAGCCGTTTCCCAGAAGAGTGCCGGCTGTTATAGCTGCATAGGGGGCCCGACTCCATATTAATGCCCATGGTATTAGAATATCAACACTTTGTGGCAGAGCTGCTGTTGCTCCCACCACTTCCACTTCACAATAAGAGCACTGACAGTTGAGTGGGCAGATCTAGTCGGGCAGAAACTTCACAAACTGACTTTTGGCTAAGGTGGCATCCTATGAGAGTCACTGAACTCTTTATGACCTATTCTAAATGATTCTCTGTGGAGATTTCATGGCACCTGAACTCAATAATTAGGAGATGTGTCCGCTGACTTTTGGCCATATAGTGTGTATGCTTCATCTGAGAACAATATTTCTGCATATATATTTATATCAGTTATATAAAAGCATAAACCAGCTAGGTGTTACCTCTATCAGTCTATCTCAGCTTCAGCAGGATCTTAATATTCACACATAAACATTCCAACAAATGATCCATAAATTACAACCAGAATACAAACTAACTGTATTATGTGGATACAGAACCAGCTGTTGGACTGGAAACAGTCAGTTCAGTTCAGTTTACAATGCAAATGAAAGGCTTGTGTAATATGATGTTTCTGTTTTTGTGTAAGAATGGTAAGATATCGACCGAAACAACAGATACCTGCAATCGGTTCTTTTTGTACCCAGATCAAGAAAACAATGACTGTTTCTATGGTTTCGCTTTGTATGGCGGTAAAGCTTGCAGCTTAGTTTGTGCTGGAGTTGGCTGGTCAGCATCTGACCTATCAACACATGGCTAATTTAAATATTCAAATGAGCCATGTGCACTCACTCGCAGTTGCTAGGTTACCACCAGGCTGTCAATCAAACTCTCAGACAGAGAACATAATGTGAGATAACCTCGGTTGTTGGACTGAAATTCTGAAAATGCTCATACTCAGATGAAGATAGGTAAAGTCTATACATCAGAAACAGAAGGTGCTGTATTTGTTTACCCTTTATCTATCCAGATAAAACATTAAGAACAGTTTCTGTATGATGTTTATTAGACCTATGTAATCTGAATTGGAAGGGCACGTTGTCATGAGCTGTATCTTGTATATTTATTATTAGCTATGTGGTATGTGTATGCACCTTTATGTAATCTGGTGGAAAAACATTAACATTTAAAACCGGATCATACCAAACAAATATCTGCTGTGTGTCCCTTAAGTAAGTAAGTAAGTAAGTATTTCACTGAGCACTGGTGTCCTGCAGTTTGTGTTAAATTGTATTGCGATGGTTACAGAAACAAAGAAGTATGGCACAGCCCCACTGAGAATATTTTCCACCAGCCGCACTGTGACCTGTTGGCTGAAAAATAAACTGGTTCAGTGTCAGCCTGTTGAAATGCTCAGTCCTCACTGGAGGACAAAGGCACAAAGCTCTCCTTGTTTTAATGAGCATTTTCATTCTTTCTGTGTGTCTGTCTTCCTACAGATACCTGTACAAGGTGATTGTCCCGTACTGAATGAAAAGGACAAGATTTCACTCTGCCACCATCTGCTGGTAAAAACACAACATTGCAGCACTTCCTGCTGTTAATATTTCCTCCTGTGAGAGAGAGAAGTTAAAACGAAAGTAGATTCAGACGTTGTTGAACAGAGCTGAGACGACATTACAGGGTGTGAGATATCTGCTGGAAAACACACATTTGGAGTGTATAAAGTGGAAAGGTGAAGACAAGTTGGTGTGTCCTGTTATTGAAAAATAACTTTCACATCAAATGGCTGAAAAGATTGCTCTCTTAGAAAGTTTCCTGAACTGCCATGTGTGTTCAGAGACTTTCAGAGATCCTGTGTCTCTGACCTGCAACCACAGCTTCTGTTCAAGCTGCCTGCAAAAGTTCTGGGAACAAGCTAAAAACAAAAACTGTCCCATTTGTAAAAGAAAATCCTCAAAGGATAATCTGATTGTGAACTTTGCACTGAAGGATCTGGCTGACTCGTTTGCTGGGAGACAGAAATCTGGATCCTCTGAGACAGAGAAAGGAGAGAAGAGGGTGGAGGTGGTGTGTAGTAAACATCAAGAAGAGCCTAAATTGTTCTGTAAGGATGAAGACAGAGCTGTGTGTCCTGTCTGTGAGTTTTCTCATCACCACAGTCACAATGTGGTTCCTGTAGAACAAGCAGTCAGAGACCTGAAGGACCAGATGAAATCTGACTTAAAGTCTCTGCAGGACAAGAGGAACAAATACAAACACGTGGAGAAAACCTACAATGAAGTGATTCAACACTCCAAGAAGCAGCTGCTGTCCACAGAGAGGCAGATCAGAGCAGAGTTCAACAAGCTCCACCAGTTCCTGAAAGAGGAAGAGGAGTCCAGACTGGCAGCTCTGAGGGAGGAAGAGGAGCAGAAGGGGAGGACTATCAGCAGAGAGATGAGGAGGATTCAGGAGGAGATCTCCTCTCTGTCAGACAGTATCTCTGCTGTTGAAGAAGACCTGCAGAAACACGAGGGGCCGTTCCTCAGCAGTTATAAACCCACTCAGACCAGAGCCAGAGTCCAGTGCTCACTGTCAGATCCACAGCTGCTCTCAGGAGTGCTGATAGATGAGGCCAAACACCTGGGAAACCTGGCCTTCAGAGTCTGGGAGAAGATGAAGGACAAGGTCCACTTCAGTCCTGTCATTCTGGACCCAAACACTGCAGCCCCCTGGGTCTATCTGTCTGATGATCTGACCACTGTGAGACAGAGAGACACACAGCAGCTTCCTGACAATCCAGAGAGACACACTATGTATCCAATTGTTCATGGTTCTGAGGGCTTCAGCTCAGGGAAACACAGCTGGGAGGTGGAGGTGGGAAATCATCCTGACTGGAATATAGGTTTGGGTAAAGAGTCAGTTGACAAGAAGGGGAAGATATTTGCTACACCAAAATATGGATTCTGGTGTTTATTGCATCGTGATGGAAAATACACTAATGGAGTTGGTCAGACTGTCTCAGTGAATATGAGTCTCATGAGGGTCAGAGTCCAGCTGGACTACGACAGGGGGGAGGTGTCCTTCTACGACCCTGAATACATGACTCACATCTACACTCACAGAGACACTTTCACTGAGAAAATCTTCCCATATTTCTATATTGGAAAGTCTGCTGGTGGTAAAACTGCTGATATCAAACTGTGTCCAACTGATATTTCTCTGATGTTCAGGAATGAAAGTTAATCGTTAACTTTGACCTTTTTCATCAGGATGGTTTGAGGTTCATTAGACTCTAAACTCATCATCACACTTCAGACCCAAAGCAGCATTCTGGATCTGCTCGTCTTTGAGAGCAGATTTGATTTGATGTTGAGGGTCACAGAAATGTTTCTGAGCTCTGAAAGAAATCATCCAAAATGGTTTTCATGCAGGAAACTGCAAACATTTACAGCCAGTTGTTGTCAGTTCAAAAGTTCATCGTCAGTTTGAAAGACAATTCAAAGTTTCCTCCGACCTCAGTGTCTGTCTCCGTCACATTAGAAACATAAAGTTGGAAGTAGATTAATAATAAATACTGAGACTCTATAATATCATCTGGTCTTTGACGGGAGAGGATTAGGGCCACATGGGAAACTTTCCTTTCACTTCTGAGTTTAAAGTCAGAATTGGGAACTTTTAATATTCTGTTTTCATTCATTTGAACAAAACATGAGTTGATGTTGTTTTGTAATTACTCTGATTACACTGATGTTTCTTTCTTGGCTTTAAAAAATAGATTGAGTGAGTAAGTTGTGCCACAATTTAATATAAAGTTTATTCCAAAAGAAACTGTCTTCAAAATGCTGAAACTGTGTCATCAGGAGACAAACTTTACTAATTAAAGCCGTTAATGATCCTGCTTTTAGAGTCAAACATTGTATAGTTGTATATATCCACTGTACCCAGTGCTTTCATTGGTTCAGTTTTTAAAACAATCAGTCTTCAGTTGAAGTGTTTGATTCTTCTGATGAGTTATTTCTCTCTGTAAAACTGTTTGAATGGAGTTTGGTTTTGCTTCAGTCTTTAATTCTTACATTGCTTCTTCATATGAGATAGAAATGATTCACACAATGTTGATTAAAGCAGTTTTTATTATGAATTTTGTGTCTGAGGTTGTTTTCTTTATCTGTCAATGTGAGTTTAGAAAGAGGAGAAAGAAAGGCAGAAATGAGGATAAATACACATGGATGGACACACTGTCTTCCTATAAACACCACAAGATGGATATGTTATCCCTCAAACTAAAGAGGGGAGAAATAATCACAAAAGATATTAGATGTGTGTCTCTTGCGCGAGCTTTATTCAAATGAGAAAAGAGCGAAGAGCGCGAATTCTCCAGGTATGTGGGCGGAGACTAAAGCAATCGATCTCAGAGTACAGCACTGAGACCAGTCTGTAGATCACAGGTTAAGATTGGAAATACTTTGAATATTAGAATTTTTACATGTTAGAATTAAATAACAATGAAAAAATAAACACTCTTAATAAATGTAATAAATATTCAGCTTTCCTTTACCTGCACAACAGTCTAAAGAGTATCAATTCCCAACTTGTCACAGACACAGGCAGAATCTTTGTCAATCAAACAATGTGTTGATTTCCAATGCCTCCTTTAGATGTTTCAGTGCTTTAATAATGTGCCACAATAATGTTTGTGAGTTCAAATATCTTCATTTGGGGGTTTTTCCAATCAAATATTGATATATGTGATTGTTTGTGATTAAATCAGCAGATATTTCGGCCCCCCTCTGGACACCCCATTTCTCTCACTGACAGACTCAGGTTGTTATTGTCAGTGTCTGACAGCATTATGGAAAGGATCCCTACAGAGATAGACCTTTAGTTTAACCACAAACAGCCGTAATATCACTATCACTCTCCACCAGACTCCAGAGACAAAAACACTCATTTTAACTCACAGAACAGAGCAGTTGCTGGTCCGCCTGCTGCTTCAATCTGTTAGTTAGTTTGTGTTATTGTGTGATTTATTGATGTTTTAATACGTTAGTTTGAACTCACCAAAGTCACACAATCACACAGACTAACTGCAATCAGGCCCAAAGGATAACGCTGTCTCTCAGTACTGCTGTCAGTGTTTCATATTGTTGTCCCCAGTAGTCCGTTAGATAGAAAATACAGAAGTTCCCTTTAAGTAGAAATAGAAAAGTATCATCAGTAAAACCTCCTTATATCAAAGTAAAAGCCGGCTGCAGTGTGCAGAATGGCCCCTGTCACTGTGTTATATTATAATACATATTAGGGCCCCGATGTATCGCTCGGCCCATATTATGGGACATGATATTGTATCAGTGTATATGTTATCAGATATGTGCCAATATGAAAAGAGGTTTGAGTGCGTTTGTATATAATGCAGATAAAAATGCTTGTGGTCATACATTGGTGTCGGTGCAGCGTTTCTCCAGCAGAGGGCGCTGTGGTTCACAATACTGTGGCCAACAGCACAGAGGAAGAGAGAACAAGCAGCTCTCAGCAATGTCAGCTAGAACAGGCCTTTTTCACAGCGGCCATTCTGACATGTAACAGTAGGGTAAACACAGCTGTTAACAGTGATATTGATTAAGGCTCTGTTCCATTTAGTGTATCAGAACCTTTCCAGTGAGCCAACATGAACAATATCAGCAGCCTGTTAGTGAATAACAGTTATGTATGAGGAGCTGGGAACTTCAGTGCTGTTGAAGCTTCTTCAGTATCACTAACAGCTGATTCTATCTGAAGAGAAATACTCATATTGACTTTTATATTTGTACCATCTGACACAAGCCTGTTAAGTCTAAAGAAAGAACAGTATTGACTCTTCCTTGTGTTTCCCTGTCCCTCTGTGTGTGTGTGTGTGTGTGTGTGTGTGTGTGTGTGGTGGGCGTGGCTTACCTCTCCTGCCACCTGGCTCATCTCCACACCTGTCTACAATCAGCTGAAGACGTGCAGCTCTCCTGCCGTCCATCAACAGATTGTTAATGTTGTGATACTTGGATTAGGTTACTGACTACAGAATAGTAATTGTATCAGATTACATTTTTAAAGTAACACACCAGATACAAGTTACAACAATATTCACAGTATTTACCTGCAGTAACTCACTTTCTCTCATTTCACTGTCAAACATAAAGCGCCTTAAGTTCAGGAAACTAAACTCTCACAAAAAACAAGTTTTAGCTTCACATGATCAGTAAAATAAATAAATACAATTTTCTTATTAGTCGTATTAAACTCACACAAAATACACAAAAACTTACTAAAGTGCATAAAACATTAAAACAATAATATATATTATTTAACACACACATGTAAGTCTCAAGGATGCACGATATGGAAATCTTTTCATCTGAAACAATAATCGATAATTACCTGCTTCTCATGGCTGATACCAATAGGTTAATTGATAATTTCTCATTTCTCTATTTTAAGTTCACAACCTTCAGTTTATGTAACAACAACAACAACAACAACAACAATAACAACAACAACAACAACAACAACAGTTCTGACTTTTCAAATGTTCATTTATCTTTTAAAGTTCATCAGAAAACTTCACAAACATACTTTGACTTTCATACAACACAAAGCCTTGCAAACATTTTCCATAACAATTCAAAATAATTATTATTAACATCAACGATAATTTATGGGCTGTAATTTAATTATCTGAATAATACATAATAACATAAATAATGTTCGTCCCCAGTTAAAAGACAGTGGACATGAAAAGTTGAGTTGTATAATATAGTAAGGTGAATAACAACTGCTGCAGCCTGCTTACACCTTTTATCATCAATCTTACTGATATTTGATATTTCTCCAAAATGATCAATAATGCAGAGTGGAGGTACAGATCATTCCTCCAAGTTAATCAATAAATACAACCCAGTAACTGTAAACTGCTTGTCACACACAAACAATGTCCATTTCAGTGAGCATGATGCACTGTAAGCTACCGTTAGCTCTCCAGTGGCACTTTTTACACAGCTGGAACAAAACTGCAAATATTAAATAAAACATGTCAACTTCTTTCAAGTCCTCTGTCTCAAGTCTCAAGTCACAAATACCAAGTCAGAGTCAGAGTCTTTTATCAACGTTAGTGAAGCAGGTCTCAAGTCCTCTACTCGACCTCTGCAAAGACATTATAATATGTGTGCACATGAACTCACAGTCGGCACAAACAGAGTCTCTCTGTTAACAAGCAAGGACTTCGCTCACACACACATTTTAGTTCTCTCCACAAAAGTTCAGGAAACAAAGACCGCTAAAATAACTATATCTATTGCAAATCTCATTCATAAATCTGTTACCCTGTTCCATAAAAAAGTCCTAACCTGACTTCTATCAGCCGCTCTCATATTCAAAGGTCCAGTGTGAAACATTGAGGAGGATTTATTGTCAGAAATATAATAAATAATACTCATAGGTATGTTTTCATTAGTGTGTAATCAGCTGAAAATAAGAACTATTTGTGTTTTTATTCCCTTAGAATGAGACGTTTTTATCCACAGAAGGAGCACGGCAGCCATACTGAACAACCATGTTTCTACAGTAGCCCAGAACGGACAAACCAAAGACAGATAGGGCCCATGGTATTAGAATATCACCACAGTGCTGCTGTTGCTCCCACCACTTCCACTTCACAATAAGAGCACTGACAGTTGAGCGGGCAGATCTAGTCGGGCAGAAACTTCACAAACTGACTTTTGGCTAAGGTGGCATCCTATGAGAGTCACTGAACTCTTTATGACCTATTCTAAATGATTCTCTGTGGAGATTTCATGGCACCTGAACTCAATAATTAGGAGATGTGTCCGCTGACTTTTGGCCATATAGTGTGTATGCTTCATCTGAGAACAATATTTCTGCATATATATTTATATCAGTTATATAAAAGCATAAACCAGCTAGGTGTTACCTCTATCAGTGTATCTCAGCTTCAGCAGGATCTTAATATTCACACATAAACATTCCAACAAATGATCCATAAATTACAACCAGAATACAAACTAACTGTATTATGTAGATATATGACTCTGGTTGTCCTCCACTGAGAGAC